GTCTCAAAGGCATGAGACAACTGGCTTAACTGGTGGAAGGAAAAGACCGGATAAGTAAATACTCACTCTTGCTACTCTTGTCACAACAGACACACATTGGCAAGTGATAATTTCAGGACTATAATTTGTTACGTATCCTTACCTGGTCAAATAAAGAAAAAAAATACTAGTGTTTGCAATACGTTTTAGGATTATCACTATTTTGATATTATGTAGAAATTAAATCTTACTAATCTGTCTTGTGGAATTTATAATTATGCCCCTCTCCCATATCTTCTTTTTTGTCGCTGTAAGGAACTTCCTTTACAAACCTTGAAAGCTGGCTTACAACTGCAAGGCATTTCACACTTCAGCTAACCACAGAGGCCTAATTCAGGGTAATATTAGCAACACCATGGTAAAATATTATAATAGAGACCATTTAAAGTTTATAAAATGTAACAGAATATATGAGAGAGACACGTGGGCTTAATTTTCCATTCATGCAGATGTATTTCCTTAGACCTCCACATCTCATCTGCTACTGCATGAGGGAAGAACTAGGCCAACACACTGTACAGAACGGCACACAGTTTTGGCTGTTTGACTACTGGACTATTAAAGTAATGTTTCAGTACTGCTGAAGCCTACAGGATTTTAGTCTTTTCTATCAGTAGAAGCTGATCTGAACCTTAGCTCCTGAAATCACATTTGTCATTTGCAACTACTCTCTGTTACAAAGTGAACAGAAAATAACACATTTATATAAGCCCTGCTATACATACATGCTCCTATGACAAATCTTTAGCAAAATCAGTTTTCATTATTAAATACTGAGCCATTATTATGAGACGTATGGACTCATTATATGAATAATGAGTAATAATAACAAATAATTGTTCATAATCTTAAATGTTAAATGCAGACCTATACACATAAAATGCAGATCTATACACATAGTTTAAAGAATCTGTAGCGTTTAAACTGTAGGTATCTTCTAATCTCAAAAGCACATGAACCAGAGGAACTTCATAGCATTTAACCTAATTACTTCATTATGAGAGACATAAGAATCAGGCCCAAAGACTACTTGTGATTTGGGAAGTATTCAGGTTCTTAGATACCACAAGCAAATGTAAGTTTATCTGCTTGGGGGGGGGGGAGGGAAACAACAAAAAAACCCCAACAATTTGAGCTATTTGCTTATGGCTTGAATACACATTCACACCTGTTGTTTTAACTGTTTCCAGTAACGGAACTGGGTTATCACAATAAGTGTTAATACTTTATTCCTTTTTCTGCTAATCCCATTTTCTGCTTTATTTTAACTGACTTCAAGATTGCTACAAAGTTTAGGACCCTATTGGGCTTTAAAGCTTATGTCAGTTTTCAGCATTTTTATAACTACGGCTCACGTTGTGCTGGTTACTCTAAGACTCTGTTTGAAACCACTGCACTTCGATCAAACTCGAGTCATTTTCTGAACTAGGGTCAGAGGAACAAAAGGATAATTTATTATTTATTAGTAATCAGAGTCCTGGTTGAATGTATATGTAAATAAATATCTATATTGTATCACATGCACTAAGGGATCTGTTTAAAACCTACAGTTATTAAGGTGGATGCAACTTTTTGCCACTCTGAACCAAAACTTTGTTTAACTTCATTTTTATTGAGCTCTTGAAGGAGTCTAGGTTCAGTTTCATTTTAACTATGAGCCTGTTGTGGCTCGTAGCACGGCTCACAACAGCACAACTGACCCCAAAATCCTCATTTTGAAATGTAAGTAGATTTAAGTTTCAGCCTTCCCATTATGCACAAGGTGAAGTTTTCTTTGGGAAGAGGGAGACCTTTTCCATTCCTCTCCTGTTACAGTTTCTGGGCTATGTCAACCTTTGAACCCCTCTCTGGGATAGCAGGTTGCTGAATGACCCACTGCTCCTACTACGCCTACTCGTATCATTTGCATTACAGAGTCCTACCTAGCAAAATCCCGTCTTACCTTCTTTAGCAATCCCTGATTTGTCCAACTCATTCGCTGTTCTTCGGTGTCCCCTGGAATTGTGCATGTGTATTTCCTGCTGCATAGGAAAAGCTGTGCTAGCTGTGTGAGCTATAAGATACGTCTTATACAATTTATCAAAGCACAGATTTTTATCTATCTGTGCAATATTATTAAATACCTCTCCCTGGGGTGGTATGAACACTGATCTGGAGTTTATTGAAATTATTTCCCCATGATGAAAGGGGTCTTATATCTCATTTGGGGTTTCACTCTACCACCATACCCCAGACTGATGAGGTCATTTCTTTAAGAAGAGTCTTACTGCAATAGCATTTGGAACACAAGATTTTTTTTTTTTCCAGGAGTAATAACATTTTAATTCAACTGCTTAAATCTAATGCTTCCAATACTGTGACCATTAGTTATTCAAAACTTTTACTGAAGTCAATGGGGAGCTTCACTCACAGAATACATACCCCAATCATTTCTAAACATAAATTAGGTGATTTCATTTTCATGGAAGAGGAAAAATATGGAAGAAGGAATTGATCTGCTTGTTTATGAAGAAGGCAAGCATGGGATAAGAATTGACTGAAATGCAATAATTAAAGTAATGAGCCATCACTACGGAGAAAAGCAGGCCTTTGTCAGTGCACGTAGACCATGTGTTACCACCTAGGCTTGGTGTGGCTCCACTCACTTACTTAAAGTCCATGTCACAGAAATGAGACTTCATGGACTGCTAAAAATCAAGTAAGGAGCAATTTGGCAGGTTCTGTAAGGTGAGAGCAGAACCTTCCAGCCAAGAATATTGAGTATCCCAGTCAGAGGGTGCTTTATATTTAGTAGGTTAATACTCCCCATAACTCCTTAAAAAGCTTAATTGGCCCTAAAATCAAGGTACCCAAAATGATGAGTCTCTTGTGAAAAGCCTGGCCTAAGCTACTTTTGCAACAAAGATGGTTAAAAGTTCTCTGCAGATGCTGAAATAGTGTACTACTGGTTAGTATCTTCAGCATCAGCATCTGTGCCGATTAAAGGTCCTGTGCCTTGAAATTCCCTCCACCTCACAGACATGTTTTTATAATATTTAGCACTCAGTGCTTTACATTATCAAAGCGTTGTATGCATGCTACCTAATACCTTCTAATTAACTCATATATCTCCCAATAAAAAAAAAAAAGCATCTAAAATGAATGGCATATGGTACCACTGGCTCTTACATAATACATGCAAATTCAGCTTCAGGGTTTTACAAGAAACTTGGGTAAGCCAAGATTCCTTCCTAAAATATGCCATACACATTGCTGCATTTGTGTCTTTCAATAGAAAGGAAATGAACAATGATGCAAATGGTATCCACACAATTATGGATCAGGGACTGAATGCACACACAAACACCAGCGTGGGTAAGGGTGACCTACAACTTTCAGAGCCAAAGTTTTCAATTCCTTAATGAGTTGCACACCAATTACATGGGTTTCCCACAGACTTTACTCTCGAGATCTGCAGAATGCATGAGAAATGAGTAAAGTCTGTCGTTTTGGTATCCATCAAAGCTCTCTTCCATGTGAGGAAGTGGCTAATTTGTCATTTCACACTCAAAAAGGCGTGAAAGGGAAAACGGAGGGAGGTTAGATAGAAGAGAGAAAGGGGGGCAGCGACTCATGAGAAGAGACAGTAGGCCTGATTTTGAGCTTGTGTTTGTTGCTGCAAATCAGGAATAAATTCTATGAAATCATACTGATGTAAAAGAGATAAGAAGGAGGCCTAGTATTTCTGCTTATATAGAAAGATTCAACTATTAAAATCAAAATATGACACTAGGAACAAGGAACACTTTACAAATGAGATTATGGTCTATAGCAAATTTCTAACTTACACATTTTATTTACACATGGACATCTTTTGTTTCATTTAATTATAATAAAAATTATCAATTCCAACAATGTGATTTTTTTCAACTTAAAAATACATAAGACCTTTGGGAGAAAAATCCCAAAGAATATACACATCTGAGGAATGTCTGCTCTGTGTCAAGAGCACTGGTCTCAGTCGCTAAATATGTTTCCCTCATCGTCTTTTGTTTTAGCTTTGTTGTTCTCTTTTCTTTTCCTTTCCCTCTGCATAAAATGAAGCTAGCAAAGGGCCAGAGAAACAGTCAGATTAAAACCTTTAGAAAGATAGGGGAGGTGCAGGCAGGAATCCCATTATTTGTTAATAGGATTTGTGCACATACCTCCCACGCATCACTTAGGAAACTTACTCTCAGCATCTTGGTGGCAGTTTCAATTAGAGTCAACATTTCATTTCAGCAGATGGACTGCAAACTGATGGCTACTCAAACTCTAATGAATAACGCTTTATAATTTCCCTCTTTTAAACTATGATTACGCTTTCTTCTTTTTGTGGGGAGAAATGACTGATGTCCCTAGGCCTATTTTAAAAAATACTTAATGTGATTTTTTGCTGAGCCTCTCTATGCTAGCAAACCCCACCGACGTGCCTTTATACAAGCCCAATGGGTAAACTGGAGGCAGGGGGGTACATTTTGTAGATCTGTCACACATTTTTACAGTGCTTCTTACTCAGAAAGACGCCAAGAACTACAAATACCTCTGCCCTCCCCTAAAACGTAGCCACCTCTGGGGTAGAACGTGACAGCAAGTATTAACATGGGAACAGGGACACTAAATCCTATGTGAAAATTATGCAAGAAGAAGTACAGAACACAACTCATGTAGCCTCAGGCTATCCAGAAATTAGCTAAAAGCGTGCATCTTTTCTTCTTAATGAATGCATTTGAAATTATTGCCTGGTGTGTGGTACTCCAATAAGGAACATCTCATTTGGTACTGTATCCCATGATACAAACTTGTACAGATTAATAACGATGGTGAGTTATCTGATTTCAATAGGAAGCAATGTTAATTCATAGGCAAGATGCACGAAACCATAACACAGTATTCTTTTTTTTTTTTTTTTTTTTTTTTTTTTTTTTTTTTTTTTTTTTTTTTTTTCATGGAAAATGTCCTTTCTTTAAATAGAATTTCCAGACTACGTAGATGGCGGCCGGGCAGGCTCATGGTGCCGTCGGTTTCGCTTTTTCTTCATCTCCTGCACGTGCTTCCATTTGGCCCCACCTTTGTTCCGCTGCCGCCGCTTCTCGCGGTGCCACATCTGTTCACAGTACTCGTCCAGGCTGAAGCTGGGGCTGCTGACCAGCTGGATGTAATCCTTGTACCTCAGCCGCGACTCAGTGAGCAAATCCCTCACCCGGCCCTCCTCATCCTCAGTTTTCTGAGTGCTTTCCATTTGTCCGTTCTCGATGATGTTTAAATTCAGCTTCACAATGGTGTGGACGAAGGTATGCTCCTGGGCTTTGCAGTAATAGGCTCCTGCATCCCGCCTTTGCAAGCTGCGGATCAGCAGCCCATGCTCTGTTTTGATGATCCTTTCGTCAGCCTTTAGCTGTGTGGTCAGACAAAGAAGAACGCAATGCATTAATTTCATTGGGAAAAGCAGAAAATGCACCAGTGCTATGTTGAGCTGGAGGAAAGACCTGGCTGGCACGCAGCACATCCTGCCCCTCGGTTGCCAGTGTGTGATGAGGTATATGAAACTCCGGCAGATACCATGCAATCCTTCCAATTTTGGAGTGCTGCTCCTAACTATAGCATCTGTATCAGTAACATTTCAGCATGCATTAGGAAAAGATATGCGCTGCACAGCTGAAAGGACATCAACACTCAGCAGATCAAAATACAGTAAGGTAGAGTACACTCTCCATGGAAAGGTAGGCTTTTAATGCCCACAAATCCCAAATTATTTTTTAACTCATGAAGCAGAGACCATTTTTCTTGAGGTATTTGTACCGCACCCAACATTACTAGGGTCCTTGTATGTATCTGAAGCACTGAGGTACTATCACATTTCCAATAACTCCTCCTCCTCTTACACCTCCTCCTCCTACTAATTTTTTAAAGTCAGTTGCTCTGATTCTGATCTTCTTCAACCAGGTTTTAAAAAAGGGAGTTGATGATGGCTTTGACTCATTAAGACATGATTAAAAACAGTTAAATTAGAAGACCACAACTCACAATTATTCAATTCTTTTATTGTTTTGGCTTTAAGATCTGAGAAAAATAGCTTACAAGAAAAAATGTAAATATATAGGAAAAAATGTACAGGTAAAGGAAAAAATGAGATTTCAAGTGAGGGCTGAAGTCTGTCAACGTGGAATTACACTTTGATTTATGAATGGAAATATTTCCAAAAATACAGCACAATACCTGTTGTTAAAAATAAGGTGCACTTAGAGTAACAAGACTGTCAGGTCAGTTACATATCTGGTGATCTGAAAATGATTTACAAAATAACTTAACTCCCGCAAAACGATCAGGATGGGGCAACAGATACTTGAATAATTTTGCAGCTGGGGAACACAGAAGGTAGGTGATTTGCCAAAGCCCATACAAAGATTAATAGCAGAGGCAGAAGTAGAAACGAAGCCTTAAGTGCCAGTATCTTCTTCTAACACCAGTCTTTGCTTTGAAAATGATCCTATTTTAGTAAAAAGCTGTCACCTCAGAGCGTGCTATGTTCTGCTGCCACGCAGAGGCTGCAGCGCCAAACAACACTGAACAAACCTGGATTAGCCCACATTAAAGCCAGTACTTTAAATACAGCATCAGCGCTGCTGGTGGTATTGTTATAACGCACAAAAACTTCAGCACTATGCGGAGGGCTCAGTTTAAAAAGGGGGGAGGAGGCAGAGAGACCCAGAATCTGGAAAATTTCCCAGGGTGCACATCTGACCCTCCAGCAAACTTCAGAGGAAGAAGATCAGGGAGGCATAAAGATGACTAAATTAGATTTATTCACAGTGGGTAAGCTACACACTGTTTCTTTATGTAAAAAATCTGCACATGATTCTCTCTCCTACTCCATGGGAAAAAATGTGTGTGTGCATATATTTGTACATACATACATATACACACACACACACACACACACACACAGTGTGTGTGTACATATTAATAAATACGTTTTTATATATTGTGCATATATATGATAAGATTCTATGATAACTATTTTATAATTGTGAAATAGTTTTACAGACTATTTCTATATCACTAGAGAAAGCAAAACATGCATGGATATATAAATAATACATGAAGAGAGAGAGAGGGTTTGGCTTGCTACTGTATCTGCTGTAACAGTCTTGAGTAAGGTACAGATAGATGGACAGACAGATAAATCCGTTCCTATGTATTACCAGTGATCTAACTGTATCAAAGATGAGAAAGCAACTGCTACAAAAGCCTGTGTCAAGACATGGCTCTGGCAGCCTGGTTCTGTGGCCAAGCATTATTTGGCTCCTGCCAACATTTGACAGTGTTGGGTTGTCCCTCAGCTTTAGCTTCTTTAATTGTAAACTGGATATAATCATGCCTACTGGCACCAGCAGTATGAAATCTTGCTAATTTCAGCAAATTCCTGGAAAATGGATTATCTTCTGACAACAGGTGCTACATAAGCACAAGCTAGTTTTGATTTACTGCACTGAGTCTAAACCAGAGAAATCACGGTCAATACACAAGCGTTCACACAGACAATAGCAGGGAGACAGACTAGAAAAGACCACTTTTCCACCTCCAGAAGCTACAGCATAGGGCACTAGTTCTCAATTCTAGCGGCTGGTGATACTTCATTCAAAGTAAAACTCTCTGTACCTTTCTTACAGTTGCAGTAAATATAGGAGAACAAAAGGTATTAATGAATCCAAAGATAAGTAACTGTAGGTAGAATATGTCTCAGGCAGGTGTTTCCTTGTGGTGCTGTACTCCACAAAGAAAAGAGAGCAGAGCCAGGTGGAAGTGCTCAGATGGGAGCTTTGGTTATCACCTTGTGACAGGGAAACCCTTTTCTTCTGCCCAGGCTTCATGCTAACAATGGCAAATGCTACACATCAAAGCGTGAGGAACGTGGGGAAAAGAAGGATGTGAAGAAGAAGCTGATTCACTCAAAAACATTTGGGTTTCATAAAGCGCTACCAAAGACCCAGTTCCCACATTGTCTGAGTGAAAACAGGACCAATCTCTCTGAGTTCAGGGCTCAATGTAGTTGCACCAGTAGCATCTGCCTGTCAGTGGCTCTGCCAGTATTGTAGCCTAGAGCATCTCGACAGCTGTGCACCTCCCACACTTGGAAGCCCTCCAGCTGGCTGCTGCCGCCGTTGGCTATGTGCCACTCCAACAAGCCCCCAGTAGTGCTTTGCCTATTTACCAGTGAAAGGATGGCAGAATAATGGAAGATCTAGAGTTGAAAAGACCACCAGACCCCCAACTCCAGCACCCCGCCACTTGTAACAACTTACCATTGTACCTTCACTTTCTCGTCTTAAACATGTTAACTAACGGAGTTGCCCCCCTCTGCCTTAGGATACCCCAGAGAAAGCTAACAGACTCTAAATTGGCTGTGTCCCTTAATCCCAGCCCATCAGGAGTCCTATTTTTAATGAAGCAGCACTTTTACAGAATGTTCTGTGTTAACCTTGGATATTGATTTACGGTGACTGTCACCTCCTTCTTCTCTGTGGCTTCATTGTTCATTCCTTTCTTATCCTCTGGCAGGATGAAATTATGGCTCTGATTTCACACGTATTGAGCAACACTTCATTATTGTTTTCCCTCCTCACTTCTCTTTTTGGTATCCTGTTTATGTTGTTTTACCCATAGGTTCAGAACTCTTTCTGCCTTTTCTCTCTACTTTTTCCCCCACAGGGCTCTGGAGTTTCATAAACACCTGGCATTTCATTACTTGGTAGAGGATCTTTAACCTTTCATTTGAATACTTAGTATGTTCCTTGATTCCTGAACTATAGATGCAAACATTTTATTAAATGTTGGGGATAATTTAAAAGCCTAGTTAGGTAAAAGACATCATTTTATTTCGGTCAAATATGGATTCTTTTTTTCCCTGTATATCATCATCAATAACTCTTGCATTATAACTCTTAAACTATATATAAATAGAATTTAACAATTTAGAAAGCTTTAATTCATAAAAGCATGCTGATATGTGCTTAAATTTGAGCATACGATAAATATTAAACATCAGAGAAATGGTTTTGTTCAAGAAGGAACAAACTGAGAACCACAGCAATGAAGTAATTGATTACCATTAACTTTCTTTTCTTAGTGGAATGGGATTCTATTTTGACAATATTTTATCAGCAAATGGTATTTTTTAATCACTGTGGTAAGGACTTTTAAGTTTGCTAAGATACATTACATAAAGTATGGGGCATGCCATAGATACCAGCAACATTTGACAAAGGACAAAGACCTCCATGTAAATCAAATACTTGATTTTCACAGCCTGAATTTAACAACGGAGGAAGAATAGGCATTGCCAGTAAGGATGGCAAATCTTTAAACAATCAGTAGGTTGGAAAACAACCAAGGATTTGAAAGTGCTGTGGCACCAGGTTAGGTCAATGCCTTTTGTCCTTTGCTAATGATGTGTTTAGATAGCTCCCTCTTTACAAATAATTCACATGTCAACTCTTTCACAGTTAAAACACTGCACCTGTCTGGGAGAAGAAAGTGGCTTCAAAGCCTGCCTTCCCTCATTAATCAACATGTGAAAAAATGCTAGAGGTAAAGCTGGGCTAATCAAGGGTTAGCTGCAACCCCTGAACAAATTGAGAGTGGGAGAAAGGAAAACGAGGAACATTTGCAGAGAATTCACATTCATCTTGTTTGTCCATTGTCTTCTTCTTCATCCTCATCATTTGACTGAAAATAAAGGTCAGTGTTTTTCTTGGAATTATTGTTATATGCCACTTTGTTGCTTTTGTACTGGGAAAATAATCATTTAACTCCAGCACAGCTGTAGAGTTAATTTCTCTCTCTCTTCTTTTTTTTTTTTAAACATCTTTTTTTTATTTACTAAGAAGCCCCAGGAAAAATGAAGAATGTGTTGCTAGTGTAATGTCATTATGGAGACACATGAGTCCTATTATTTCAAGGTGAAGCTAACTTCTCATTATTAGAATGATTTTTAAACTCCTACCCCCAAAATGTGCTCAAATCAGAGTAAAAATATCACATGGCATATCTCTGTTCAGTTACTTTTCTATTTTTTTTAGAAACTCTCAAAAATGTTAGTCCTATTTAATAATCTAAAGGTATTTGGGAAAAAAAAAAAAGGTAAAAGAAAAATACCAAGCCAATGAGTCAGAGTGAAAGCAGGAGAGCTATAATTAGTCCCTAGCCTGCAGAATCAATCTCTCCTTATTTTCCCCTCTCTCTCTTGGTCTTTTTCTCCTTGACCCAAGGCTTCAGTGTATGTCTGCTACACCAATACTGAACTGTACCCCTCTAACAGGAAAGTACTACTGAAACTCAGAACTTGATGTATTTCCCCCTCCTCGCTCATCTCGCACTCAGTTCTCAGTTTTTAAG